AATTAAATAGGGGGGTTTCTCTCATGCATAACTAAACTATTAATGATTTCTCGACTTGCGTGAAGCAAAAAACAGAGGCAAAAGGAAACATTCATCCATGAGCTACTCACAGGAGCGTTTGATTAAATTCTAGGATGCTCTTAAATGCAAAGCTAAAAATATTCCTATTGAGTTCCGATCACAATTTATTTCAGTTAAAGTGATGAAGGCAGAATCACTTACTCAATCGATCAACCGCTTCCAGTAAACCTTTTTTGTTTCTGTACTCCTTTAAAACCTCCGCAAATATTTAACAGGTTTTTGGGGATGGTAAACGAACGAAATGGTGGCCTTTAGCGCGGAGAATAGTGGACTGTTGGAAAAAGAGACGACGTTGGAAATCTCAAAGGCGTTTAAAAAGGAGTTATTTGAAGAATCTCTGATGATCGCACTTCGCAGGATCATGAACGCCAATTGAAAGACCTTTTCCATTAACGACGTGGCATCTTCGATCCTTTGTTTTTCATAATATACATCTGTACCCTTGAGAACCCATAAATGGATTGTGTTACCGTCCCGTGCCAGAAAAACTGTTTGTGTGCATATGTCAGTTAAAATGTCAGAGATCATAGCTTTTGGTGCAAATGGCTCCCAAGCTGAAAACTCAAAGTCATATCGTAATTATCATGGGATCCTTCAAATTCTGTGCTCGTCCTTACTCAACAACTTAACAAACAAAGCTTCATGAGTATTGCGACGACTTACGTGAGTTCTCCAAAGAACCTTATAGGCATCGTAACGTGCATTCCGAAAGGTTATTTTCCAAACATCTTCGTGCTGAAGAAGAGCTCAGTACCTCGTCGTAAAGTTTTAGACTAGATCGATAACAATCAAGAGCTTCAAGGAACACCCAAAAACTCAAAATCGCATCAGAGGAAATAACATGCAGCTCCTCCTTCATCTCTCTGTCCCAGTTCTTTGGCAATGTTAATACGTTTGTTGTGGTATTCAATGGCTCGTTGAAAATCTCCCGACTCTAGTGGGCATTGCCAAGATTGCCCTAAGCACGTCCTTTCCCGAATCTTTATCGAATTCCTTTAGCAGTGCTAAGATGTAGCTTGTCGTATTCGACTTCTTGTTGAAAGTCACCCAGCCTATCACAAGCATTGTTAAGATTGCCAGAAGCACGTCCCTCCTCACCTTTCTGCCCAAGTTCTTTTGTAATGCTAGAATGTTGCTCGTTTAAAATGGCCCACACGTTCGTAGACATTGCCGAAGATCGCAATAAGCACGTCCTTCTCCACCTCTCTGCCTCAGTTCTTTGGCAATTCGAAGATGGTGGGTGTGGTACTCAATGGCTTCTTTAAGATCAACTAGACTCCTACAGTACAGCCAAGATTTCCATAAGCACACCCTTCTCCACCCCTCTCACCCAGTTCTTTGGCAATGCAAAGGTGTTTGTTATGGTGCTCAGGGGGTTGTTGAAAATCACCCAGACTATCATTATCATCGCCAAGATTGCCATAAGCACGTCCTTCCTGACTTCTTTGACACTGAAAACCTGACAAGAAAGCAAAACCTCAAGTCCGCAAACATTTCGTCACCACTGTTCACAATGTCACACATAAATCTTCAATTTAGCTGGGACATTGCAGCTCCACGGTTTGAATAGACGCGATGAATCGTAAAACTTTTAACCTACGTAGACCTGTTTTAACTTTACTTTATTTATTCTGTTTTGTTCGTCATTTCCGTCATTCCTTTTAGTTTCGAAATATATGTTACAACATCCACCATTATATATCTCCATTTCGCGTACTGCAGAAAATTTAAAGGAGCTCAGTCACGGTTTGCGCATATTGAAAAGTTTAGCCTCAATTTTTCAAATTCGTCGTTTGTAAACCGTGTTAATCTTCTCCATCCTTAGCCATCCTTGTCCCTTTATGGTTTATGCTTATCTCTTTGGTGTTTTTCCCTTATTAAACTGTTATTTTCAGGTTTCCTACCATTTAAAGGTAATTTTGTATGTGGCTAAAATAACTCAA